CTCTTCCCTTTTGATTCCATTATGGCAGAGAGCGCAAGAGCTGCACTGAGCAGGCTGGAATGGGTCTGGCCACTGCTGACTCTATCACTGTTGTATATTCAGTGGAGTGAGAATGGGAACCCCAGCTCTCCACAGGCACACACATATGCTTGTCTCCTAGCCATCTGGCTGGATTCATACTTGCTCACAAATATTTATGTAGAGTGGAACAACTTCAGAAGTTATTACTGACCATGCTGCCTGCCTCCTACCCCATCCCATAATGCCTTGCCACCCACCAGTTAGGGCCCTCTTGAGAGAGAACTGGCCTCCACAGGCAGAGGCAGAAATAACCCTCAGTCTCCCTGCTCCTGAGAGAGTGATGATAAAGTAGGTGTAGTGTCACTATTTCCTGCAGCTCTGCAGGACCTTGTCTGTTTGATGTGCTCTGGTACCATCGCCTGGGCCAGGCCCCTCACATGAGAGCACTAACACAGCTTTGATGCAAGACAGGTAAAGGGCTGCTCAGTGCTGTCAAGGCTAAGGTGCTTGTGGGCCTGCACAGGAGCAAAATGCCAGGAACCTGCAGAGCTTTAAAAGAGTAAGTGCCTGCAGGGTCAGGCAGCCAGGCACGGGTTCTGCGGATCACCGGCTTAGACCTGATGCCTTTCATGGCTCTAGCCTGGAGTCTGCACGCTACACTGCAAGAACTCAGGTCTACAGAGCTGTGATCTAGCCCCCCCTCCCCCAGTGTTATTCAGCGTGCCCAGGTGCTGCAACTTTGTCACTTTAAAGCAGTCCCTGGTTCTGTGCTGATGCATAGTATGGGAAGATGGAAGATTAAGGGCTCCAGCGGCTCCAAGCCCAAGAGAAACAGCTCAGAGGAATGGGCCTTAGGGCTCTAAGATCCAAGATCGTGTTGCGATATGTAGCACATGCATCCCCAGCTCCATTGTGGGCCTCATCCCTTGCTTAACAGGTAGCATTTGCCCTGCACCTACACATACTCATCATCCCCCACTCAGCTAGACCCTTATCTGGCCATCAACATACATATCCCAACTCCCCACCCCTCCTTCCCATTCAGTCAAGTGAGCCTATGTATCTCAGCCCCAGCCAGCTACTCTCACCCTCACCTACCCCAAGCCATGTGGACTAACACTTAAGTCCCCCTGAATTAGGTCTCCCAGTGCCCTCTCCACCTGCTCTCTGCATCCGAGCAGAGCTAGCACTGTGAGGTGGTGGCTATTCCTCCTGCTGGTTCCCTGTATTGGAGCCAGGTCAGTACTATCAGCACCCAGCTGACCAGCCCCAAGGCCTCTCTGTTTCCCTGGCATGGAGGCAAAGTGCCTGTACATGGCCCGGCGTCCTTGGGGAACTCTGGTCCCATGTCTGACTTTCCCTTGGCTGTCATGCTACAGGAATGTGCCAGAGTTCTGTACCTTGTTATTTATTGCTATGACCGTGCCTTGAATAAAATTACTTCACCCAACTACGGCCTGGAGTAAGTCACATCGTTTGCCATGCATGGCACCAGCCTGAGCAGCAGGGGGAGGGGAGGAGTGCACTATGGAGGGCACCAGCTCTAGGGAGAGGGGGAACCCCACATATTTTTTATTGCTTGTCCTAAAAGTGGAAATAGTCTGTTCCCAAATCCATGTTCTTGTACAGCACTGAATTCCTTCAGTTACGCTTATGACATGGCTCCCTCTGGGTTTCATTTTATTTCCCTTAAATGCCCCATACTGCCCCAGGACCATCTTCCCCAGAGCCACAGCAACACAGTTTGGGCTCCAAATAAACTCCTACTGCTGCTGCCTGGGTCCCCTCTGAGCCCCACACCAACCAGCCTGGCCCTGGGTGGCTGGAACATGCTCTGGAACCAGGGCCTCAGTCAGAGCATTCGAGTCCTGCTTGTAATAAACAAACCTGTTTTTCAGTCTGCACCAGAGCCAACACAAAGGCAATGGGGCACTGCCAAGTCCTGCCCGCATAAACCTCCAAATGTGCCGCCTCTTGCAGCAGCCTGTGCAGCTGTTTACAACATGACTATTTGGCTTCCTTGGACCTCCTCAGACTCCATTCCTGTCCTGATCGAGGTTCGGGGGACCTGAGTTTAGCTATGAACCACCCCCCACCCACAGCACTGACCTGATGCTTTCCATGTCGGTCTTTGAATCTGCTGCACCTGTCAGAGTACTACTGACAAGTGACACAGTGGCACTTAACTTACCAGCTGTAGGCTCCTGGTTTAGCCCTCTCACCTCCCTGAACATAGCAGTTTGCAGCTCCCGGTGCTGGTGTCTGACGTCCTCTGCAGACTCAGCTCACAAAACACAAATGGTGTTTCTTCCCAGCCAGCCCAGCTGAAGACCTGCCAGGGATTTTTTAATGGCAGCTGCGAGGACAAGACAGCAGGGTCAGAGCACTGCTGCTACCACAGTGTGGCGATGTACCAGTTGTGTTGATATGGATACATACCAGGCCTGGCTTGAACTACCTTGTGCTATGGGCCAATCTAGGCTGCTCCAGCCACCGGGAAACACGCTCCCCATCACACCTGCCCTCCTAGCGCTCCTAGGACTGCAGAGCCAAGCAGATGCTCAGTGTTGGCTCCCTACCCCCAGCACCTGATTGGGCCACCACCCCTGAAGGTTCACCTAGGACATGAGGTATAGGAGACCAGCAAGCACAAGGAACATAAAGCTGAGGTGGCTGCAACTAGCACCATCTGATCCCTGGCATTGCTGCAAGCCCCTGGTTCCATACCTGCACTGAGCAATGGCTGAGCTGGCCTAAGTACACTGGACCCTGCCCTTTGCTGGATGCACTCAGGCCTGCTCTTTTACCAGCAGGCCCTGGCTGCCTTCAGCTCCTACTGCTTCACTGCTGTCAGCTGCCTCCTCTCTCCAGCTGCTCATCTGTCTGAGGGGGCGGCAAGGAAGCAAAAGAGGTGACAGCCAAGGGAGTAGGCACAACACCTTCACTGGCTGCAGGAGGATTCACTACAGGGATCCTGCACTACCCACCTGATGGGTGGGCAAGGTTCCTCAAGGGCTGCAACAGGTGACAGGGCTGCCAAATGTATGAGTGCCACAATAGGGCTGCAAGGCTTCCCCCACTGCCTCTAGAAAGACAATAGCTCCATGCAAATGAACCACCCTGAGGCAGAAGCTGTCAAAATAGCTTGAGAAGCCTCCATACCGATGCATGCTCCCAGCCAGCCAGGCGTTTGATGTGGGAAGACACTCTTCAAAAGGACAGCTTGGCAGGTACAGGCAGGGGGTTCTCAGTTCTTCCTTTTCCCCTCTACTTGCCTTCCCTGCAGAGAAACCTCCTCTGCCCCAAAGAGCTTGCTCTATACAGGGCCCAGCAGACTGGGGCAGAGAGCCTGACTGGGGCTCCCCATTGCAGGGTTATTAACAACAATACTTGACCAACTACACTCTCCCTGGGATCACTCACTGTGCTCAAGCAGCGGGAGGGGGCTACCTGCTGCATGGTGCTGCTACTGCCACCAGCCACCTGCCCTGGCACACTTGCTGCTGTTACCATGGAAATGAGAGCGCCTTCATCTCCTCTGATCATTATTTTAGTAAGAAAGCAGCCAAATTACCCTGAGCCTCCGGCAAGGCAGAGGCAGAAGCAGTGTTGCCTAGAAAGCCACGGTCATAAACAGGATTGGTGGGAGGGGGAAAGTCCAGTAGGTCTGAAGCCAGCCCTTGAGGTGGCCAGTGCCTTGCTGCCTCCTGTGTCTGTGCAGGTGCAGGGAAGCTCTGGAGGAAAGTCAGCTGGCAGTGGGAGGAGATGATCAACGTGACCCCAGCCCTAGAGAAGGTAGGGCTGGGCATCAGGAACTTTTGGGCAGAGGTGGCAGTAGAGGTCATATGACCTGGGTTTGGTCTTTTAAGGGAAAAACGGAAGGACAGGCAATGAGAGGTCACCATGCTTCACTAACTGCAAAGCCAGGGAAGGGACATGGAAGCTGATGATGGGCTCTGGCTGATCCAACCCACTCCAGGGTTTATTGGTAGAGAAACACCAGTCTCCAAGGTCTCTCTCTTTCACCCCCTTGAGAGTTTGACATTCAACATCCATCCAGTCTTTCATCACTTCACATTTGGCAGACCAGGGTTTGTCTCCCTTCCATTCCAACAGAGTGGAAATGAGCATGGCTATTCCATTTATTGGTATTGTTGAATTGTTAGCATCACAGGTTGGTTAACAGGCTCCCTTTGCTGCTTGCACAGCTACCCAGGAGGAGCTGTAGGCTCCTACCTACCTCACAGCAGTGGTTTGATTTAAATCTTTGGTCACAAAATGTAGAACGTTGAAGGGGGGTAGTAGACAGGCCCCAGTGATCACTCCCCAGCCCCAGACCCCACCAAAAGCATCAGCTTATAAATTTAGCATTAAGACTGGCTGAATTTGCAAGCTGGCTGTTGAAAGAGCTCCTGCTTGTGCAACCTTTCCTGCAGCTGTGCGGTATTGGTAATTGCATCCCCTATGGTTTATGGCTCTCACTCCCCTCATGGAAGGAAATGGGCTGCACAGCTAGGTTCATCACACACACTAACAAGATTGTTTAGAGAGCCATTATTCTGTGCTTTAGGGCACTCAGTCACTCAAAAAAACACTCAGCTGATTACTATAATTTGCATGTAAAAAAAAATCTCTCACAGCTGGGGCTGAAAAAATTGCATAACACAGCCTGACACACAATGGACTGGGCAAAGCCTGCCTGCCAGGGGCAGCAGAACCAGGTAGAAAGCCTCTGTGGCTGAGGCATAGGTGGGCTGAATGGGGCTAGTTCTTTCATAACCATAAAGCATCTTCAAAGTGGCCCAGGAGAGTCAGAAATGCAACACTTCTGTGGTCTAGAACCCTCCTTGAGCTGGATTATAAACCTTCTGCTAAATGAGTGAGCATGGGTTACAATCGAGGGCTTATAGCACCTGCATTTGCTTCAAGACCTCTATGCCTCAGTTTTTCACTTGAGTCACCTGGGAACAAAATACGCATCTCAGGCATGATGCGAGCCCAGGTGATGTGCAAAAAGAGGAGCGGGTGAATAAATGGTTATCTTTTTAGTTGCTACATGATGGTTAATGGACACTTTGAAAGGCTACATTAGAAATAAATGATCTGCTTGGTCTTTGCTCAGATTCAGGTCACTGTCTGGCTGAGCTCACTCCCTGCACCCCAGCTGCACAACAACACCCAACACCCTGTCCCCCAAGTTGGTTCCCAACCAACCAGAAAGAAACAGCACAGGCAGCCTCCATGGGGCAATCGCTTCTCTCTTTTCTGCAGTTATGGAGAACAACTGTCCTCCCACACAAGATAGCCAACCCCCCTCCCCCCATGGGTACAATACAGACAGCCATATACTCAGGCAAGTGTGAGACATACCTGATGAGCTGCTCATTTGGGTATCTGGCTTCCATCAGACAGTGTTGGAATATGTTCTACTGTTTTCAGCCAACTCAACGGCCACTTATGAGCCCTTCTGCAAGCTCTTCGGGCAGCTCATCATGGCCTCCATGAGAGGGCTTGGAAACTGTGCTGACTCCACAGAACTTGGGGGTATTCTTGAAAGGAGCAGGGAGCTGATCTCTCCCTCAGTGCTTCGTGTTCACTCAGGTAACCCACTGACATTTCTGGAGCTCATAAGAGCCATTGGTGCTGAGGGCTGTGCTGGAAACAGTGGGATACAAGGCAAAATGGCTGCAGTGGTGTAGAGTGCAGCAGGGTGATAGGGTAGAACCACAAATGCTCCTTAACCTGGAGAAGGAACCCAAGCTTGGATATTGAACACAACCACTGCTCAGAGCAGCAACAGCTGGCAGCAATCCAGTTCTGTAGTGCAGACAGTTTACAGCAGAGGTTGTCAATGCAGGGTATGCATACCCCCAGGGGTACTTAGAAAGGACATAGAGGGTATGCGTGAGCAGGTAGGCAGGCAGAGACAGAGTGTGCCCTGGGGCACAGTGACGGCATCTCCCTTGGCACCTTCCCATGCTTTGCTTCTTACCCA